TGTGTGTGTGTGTGTGTGTGTGTGTGTGTGTGTGTGTGTTGATGCTGGCCATCCACAATGGGCAAAGATGGAATCTCACATTAGCTTTGATTTACATTTCCCTAATGGTTAAAATTCTTAAACAGTTTTTCGTATAATTGTTGGCCATTTCTGCTTGTTTTTTGGGTGGGCCTAGAAACGGAACCTCAGGGCCTGCACGCTGAGCTGCCCGGCTCTGCTGTCTTCTGAGACAGGATGGCTGGGCTCAGTCACAGGGCCGCTAGTTACAAGCCCATGTGCGGTGTCTTTGGAAACACTCTGAGTGTGCAGGGCCTGAGGTGGTGTCTGGGTGGGCTGAGGATGGGAGCAGAGCGGCTGCCTGTGGGCAGGAGCAGCCGCTGCACAGGAACTGCCACAGCTGAAGGCCAGATTCGGACATGGGGTTGCCGGTGCTCAGATGGAGAGCTCAAAGAGACACCGAGAGCCTCCCGCGCTGCTCGGTGGTTATAGATGCTTCTCGAGGTCCCTGCTGGCCACCCCTCCTATCCGAACTCCCTGCGTGGCAGTAGGGAGTCAGATTGGCTGCGTATTCTCAGTGCCTCCTGGAGCTCCTGGTACAGCCTCTTCTCTGTCCTGCGTGGGGTCCTGGCCCCGCAGTCAGGGCCAGCAGTGACCAAGGGTAAAACCATGCTCTGGATGGGCGGTCTCTCCGCTTTCGGAAAGGTGGGGAATAGGTGAGGGTAATAGGTGGGTCAGCTGAGATTACTGTTTTCATTTTTATGAGGAACCTCCCTACGGATTTCCACACTAGTTGTACTAGTTTACACTCCCACCAGCAGTGCAGAAGGGTTTCTTTCTCCCTGCAGCCTCGCCAGCACTTTTTACTATTTTATCTTTTAACAGCTATTCTTTCCACATGTAGCAGCGTAGTTCACAACGGCTGAATCGTGGAAGCAGCCTGTATGTCTGTCAGCAGATGAGTGGTTACTGTACGCAGTGGAGCACCACTCTGCTCTAAAGAACAAATTCGAGGCATTTTTGGGAAATGAGTGGGCCTTCATTTCACCTGAGTGAAATAAATCCAACACCTAAGCTAAACTGTTGCATGGGTTCGCTTACATGAGAAACCCAAAATATAAACAGACAGCAAAATAAAAGATAGAAAATAAGAAATAGGGAGGTGGATCTTTTATGCATGGGAGAGGGACCGAGAGACGTGGGGCTGGGCATGGAAAGAGTGAAGTTGTGCTGTGCGCGTGCGCCAGCTCCCCACGGTGGGCTGCTCGGGGTGCGCCGTGATGTGGACTGATGAGAAGTCATGCTTGGAGAGGTTGTCCCGCCTTCCGGGCACTCTCTGTCACACTGGTAACCTGACCACACTTAGGTTCCAGTCTACCGGCCGCTGTCTGCCTACTGTGTGTGAGCTGCGTGGTGTGCATGCATGTGCATCACTAGTGTGTGTGAAGTGTGTGGGATGAGTGTGAGCAGTGTGTGTGTGCACATCCATCAATAGTGTGTGTGAGCACCAAGGTGTGCATGCGCTTTCATCGCTGAGGCCATCAGATTTGGTTTTATTTTCTTTCAGTAGTGGGGATCGAACTCGGGACCTTGCGCTTGTGAGGCAGGTGGCGGCACCGCCAAGCTACATCCCCTGCCCTGGGCCATCAGGTTTAAAGGTGGCTGTGGCAAGAACATTGCCCTCCGTCTTCTCCAAAGGTGAACCCATGTGTAGCTGTGCATCAAGGGAAGGAAAGCCATGATCAACCTATTGACAACCCAAAGCAGAGCAGCATGGAGCAAAGGTAAAGCTCCGACGTTGTTGGATGTGTGGCAGGTCACAGGAGGGAGCCTGGAATTGCTTTCCTGCAGGGAGGAGTAACCAGACCCGGCTTCCCCTGACTTGGGTGACTTTGGAAGCCTGAAAGTAAGAGAACGCGCTCAGTTGTGTTTGAGGTTCTTTCCAGGTATGGTCCTAGGAAAGCAAACTGCTTCTCCTTGAGAGAACGTGGCACCTGCCACCCCACCATCTGTGAAGCAGAGTCCTCTCCTGTCCGTGGGGCTGTGACCTGAGACCTCCAGTGAATGCCGGGAACCGTGGCTGAGCCCAGTGACAGCGCTGGGTCCCGACTTAGAGACTGAGCCGGTTTGAAAGCCATGTGCATGCAGTAGAAACTGCTCAGAGCTAGTGAGGTGCCATGGGACAGTTCACAAGACACCAAATGGCAGCAGCTACAGTGCCAGCAGCTGTGTGGCCTCAGGTGAACGGCCGCGTGCTGCCGTGAGGTTGGGAGGGGAAGGGTCCCAGATGCACCCCAGTGTGTGGCGGTTTCCACCTGGGAGGGGCTCTCCAGATGTGGCCACTGTAAACAGGGGAGCAGGTGCCTGCACCTTCTCCTGTATGCGCCTGCCCAGGGCAGACTGAACTGATAAGTTAGCAGCAGTAACTAATAATAGAACCATTCTAGCAGTGCACTGTGGGGGAGTCATGTGGGCACAGCGTCTTTCTCTCTGAGGGCACCTTGCTGCACAGTGCTGTCATCCCTCCTGTGCTGGAGTGAGATTGTCCAGGCCCAACGTGATGACAGGCTGCTCCTGACTGTCCTGTGGGTCCCCGGACACTGTCCTGAGCAGCTTCAGTGGGATGAGCGCCCAGCCCACTCTTTCTAGTTACTGGATCATTGTCTGTGGGTCATAGTCTTTCTGATCTTTCCAGGGTTTCTCTTGGTTTTCCATGTCCTGCTCTGTCTGCTGCACCCCAGGCTACTTTCGAGGCTTTAGAAAAGCCTGGCCTCTGCCTCCTTTCCCGTGGATGACTCCTCCTTGGTTTTCAGGTCTTGGCATGAAGGTCTCTTCTTTGAAGAAGCCTCTTAGCCCCTCGACTGACCCCAGCCCAGCGGCATCCGTAACCTGCTCAGCCCTGATGCTCCTCATGATGTGGAACCCAAGTCCCTTGTCCCTGCCTCCATCTCTCTAACTGGACCGAGAGGAGCCCATGTGCTTGCTTCACTTTGCCTGGTACAGAGAAGGGATCCACATAGAGCTGGTGCGGGAAAGGACGCCAGGAGCTTGCAAGGGCAGTGTGACGTCTCGCTGTCACTGAGAATGAGGAGACCGAGCCTGATCAGCAGAGTACAAATGTGGCCAGTTCCTCTGACATCCCACTCGTGTACCTTGGCCGAACCCACCACCTGAAAGGTAGAGGTGATGGTGAACACAATCCCCTGCTCTAAGCCCACCCTCCCTCTCTGTGGAGGTTGCCCTCCCCTTGGTGGTGTCTGCTCTGATGTTCACTGGGGAGCTGTTTCAGATGTGACCTGTACCCCATTTTTGATTGGCAAGAAAGGACACAAGGGGGCGGTTGGCGCTGCCCAAGAACGCCTGTGCTCTGGGAAACTGCTCTGTTCTTAGTACCTGTGCTCTGTACAACCAGCCCCAGGACCCTGGCGCGCTGGAGAGCACAGAATCGACACCTGCATCCTTACCTCTCCCCTCAGGAGTCTCGGGCACTGCCAGGCAGGTCTAGGTTTGGGGGCTTTAGGAAGGAAAGGCCCCCGGAGTGCAGGGCTGTTCTCTCCCATTACTGCTCATGCCTTCCTCTTGAAGTGGTCGCAGTGGAGCAGCATGGCTTTTAGTAGCGTTTTGTTATTGGCGAAGCTGTGTGCTCTGTGCAGAGGGGGAAAACATTCACTTGGGTGCCTGAAAGTGACTCCTCCAGGAAAGCACCGCCGCCCGAGGTGACACGCACTCCAGCATCCTCCCTGTCCTCTTTCCAGCCCCTCACATGTGATAATGCTTCAACATGCACACGTTTCTCTAACAGAACAGGCCTGGGCCCCGGGAAAGGCCTAGGAGAAGGCGGGGCGGGAGCTGGGGAGGTAGCAGGAAGACTGGAACACGGAACTGTGCATTAGCAGGTTCCTAAGGGTGCACCTCATTCCTTGTCCCCAGTGCACTTGTCTTAAAAAAAAAAATAGGATAACAGTATCTTGTGTAATTGATAGTTGAATTTTTAGGTGCCTTAGTGAGAAAGTTTGTGTCAATAGGACTTTTATGAGGAAAGATCCTAATGTTAACCATTAGCACCAAGTCGGGTCTCATCAGAGTTTTGGTGCGAGCTTATACCTCCAGTCTTCAAAGATGAAACCTGAATATGGAATATAAATTGGCGCATTAAAATGTAAACTGCCACTTATGCTGTGTTTATTACTTTCTCACTGCTGGGACACAATACCCAACACCCACAATTTAAAGGAAGAAAGGCTTATTTTGGCTCACAGTTTGTAGGGGTTTAGTCTGTATTGTGCTGGCTTCAAGACAGGGCAGCGTGGCCGAGGGGCCTGGCAGAGGAGAAGCAGTCCGTGGCAGGGCACGCAGGACTCAGCAGCCTTCCTCCTGTCCCTTTTTTATTCCATCCAGGCTGCAAGCCTGTTTGTTGGTGTCACTCACACCCAAGCTGGGTCTCCACTCCTCAGTGGGTCCGTTATCCACATCCAGAACTATGTGCAGCCAGTCAGTGGACTGATCCAGTATCACCTTCATGGTCCTTCCAGTCACTTCCAGGAGCCCATCTCTGAGCACTCGAGGCACTGGGGGGATGTAACGCATAACAAATGCCTTAAAACACACCTTTGAATTTTATTTTTAAATTCTAAATCTAAAAATTACACATAGGAAATACAGAGTTATAGAATTATATGTCCAAATATATTTATGACATTTTGAGTATCAAAAGTTTTGTTAGTAACTTACATGTTGCTCAGTTGGGAATTCATTAAATTCAATTTTTAAGGTAGAATTCTGTATACCTTTAACATAATTTTCCAAGCATACTAAAAAATGTGGGACCATATTTTTAGCATAAGGTTAAATGTCTGTGCTAATGTAAAAATATATTTGAAACAAATGTACATAATTTGAACACTTGCTTATGTAATGTAATATACAGCTCTACCTCGGCCATCCAGTAGCTCAGTGTTTGAACTTTCCACTGCTTGAACAGCAAAGTTTGAAAAAATCTGCTTGGGGTTTGTAACTTTGCTCCACAGATGCACCAAAAATCCGATCTGAAAAAGCCTGTAGGAGCAGAGAGCGGTTGCATGGCCCTCCCCTTGGACACAGGGTGTGTGTTTGTGTGTGTGTGTGTGTGTATGTGTGTGCTCGCATCTGAGCACTGCTCTCACCCAGACGACACACAGTGCTTGTGTGATTTGGGAGCCTCAGAACCGATTATCTGGATTTCCATTACTTCTTTTGGGAAAAATATGTTCGGTTCTCAAACTTTTTATTGTTCAAACAAATGTGGAACAAATTGAGTTCAACTGAGGTGTCACTATATATTTAAAATCAGCATCGTTAGTGATTAACATTCATATACACAGGGGTAGTTCTTGCTTTTTCCTGGTATCAGGAATTGAACTCTGGGCCCCATGCTTGCCAGGCAGGCCCAGTGCCACTGATACATCCCCAGCTCTTGGTGGTTCTTGTTTTGCCTGGTTCCATCAGGCAAAGCTGCAGTTTAGTGATACCAGGCACCTGAGCAGCCCAGTCCATATTTCAGTTCCCACTGTGTTACGACAAGGTTAATTCACACACGTGCTATGAACTTTGCTCCCACCTAGCTCTTCATCAACAGATTGCTGGGTCGGTAACATCACTGTCGTCCTCAGTGACCAATCTCGTCACCTGTTCTAAGCTCGCCGCTGTGTTACAGAGGTTTGTTCTATGCACACATACAGCTGTGCTGCCTTCTATGCCCATACATTGTAGAAAAGTGGAAGGGATTGAGTGCAAAGATGGTGGAGCAGAGAAGAAGCCAAAGGGAGTCCCACAGGGAGCGAGGTTGGAAGCGCATCAGCGGAGGCCTGCTGCTGTCACAAGTGGCTCTGGCTTCCGGGGCTTGAAGCTCCCTCACAGCCCTCATGACCACGTGTGCGAAGATCCAAACAATCTGAGGAAGTTCACATTTTAGCAAGTAGAGTCCAACCATATATTTAAAGAACAGATGTGTCAGGAAATGGGATTTACCCCAGTGGTGCAGACTTGCTGTAACATTCAAAATAAATCAATGTAGTGCACTGCATTAGTAAACTGAGAAGGAGAAACCAGATGATCCTCTCAGTGGAGAATAATCTAATACCTACTCCTTGTAATACCAGATAAATGCATCTAAGAAAAATTATAGTTAATCTTGTTCAAGGGTGAAAGGCTTAATGTTTTCTTCTCAAGATCAGGAATACAAATGAAGATGTCCTCTTCCATCTGGTCAACGCAAACAAGCAAGAAAAACAGCCACCTTGTTGGAAAGGAAACAGGAAAATAATAACAGAGAACACATTCTATGTCAAAAATGCAGAGGAACCTGTAGAAAGTACTAGAAATGTTTGTCATTGGTACAGTAAACAAGATCTGTATGTGACAAAATCCTTTCTATTTTTGGCAGTGGACAACTGGAAACTGCAATGAAATACTATTTACAATAGAAAAACTATGAAATAGAGATAAATCTTAATACGAAAAGTGTAAAACATTTATACGTGGAATTAAAAACTTCTGTATCTATGAGGCGATATCTCTCCTTGTTTAAAAGTCCTTGTAGCTTTTTGTTTGTGTGTGTGTGTGTGTGTGTGGTTTTTCACAGTGCTGGGGTCAAATCCAGGTCTTCATATGCAGTAGCACTGTGCTGGCGACCATTGCGAGCTCTGAGTAACTCAGCCCACTGTGGCCTGTGTGCTGGAGACTCGCCACCTCTGCGCTCGGAAGTCCCCCTTTCCAACACAGAGCTTCCTCCTTGTTCTCTGGGACGGCCAGGACACGAGCCTCTCCAGCCCGACCTGGAGACCCCATGTGGTCCCCTTCCCGGTCCCAGCGTCCTCTTTGTAGAACCCGATCAACAATCTCTAAAATTCACACGAAAGAAAAAGAACTGTAGAATAATCAGTACACCTGTATTATTGTTTTGTATTGCTACCATGAAATACCAAAGGCCACTTTTGAAGAAGAGAGGCTTGTGCAGCTCACGGTCTTGGTGGCTGGAAGGACATCCTGGCCACAGTACAGTACTTGCCGGAGCCACTTGCAGGAGAGGCCCCCAGCTCCCCTTCAGCCCAAGTGGCCCTCAGCCTCACCCATCCACCTGCTGGGCCATGCTTTTCCATGAGACCTCAAGGGGTGCTACTTGTATCCAGGCCACAGACACAACTATGACAAAGAACGACGCTGGAGGGCTAACCCCACTGCACCTCCAGACAGACTGGAATAGTTCGGTTATCAGTGCAGAGAGCCTTGACTATTTTGTGCTTTTGATTGCTGGATACTCCTAAGTGCGTGCAGCTCGTTGCACCTCCAGAGAGCTGTAAATAATTCAGGTGGGCCTACGGCTGGCACAGCTTCTGTGGTTTCCTTTTGTGGATGGAGAGCCCCAACCCTCATTTCTCCCCCTTGCTCAGTGGGAAGGATGATCCCAATGTATTGAAGGCCCTGTTTTTTGGTAGCTACTTCTGACTGCTTTGAAGCCTCCAGTTGCTGTTTGTTCCGGTTCTGAGCTGCTGAGATATGTCTGTCTTTGAAAGGTTTCTTGGTATTTGACATGGTGTTTGCTGTAACGTAGGCTAATCTCCAATTCATGGGCCTGACTGATCCTCCTGCCTCTGCCTCCCAAGCAGCTGCTGCTGCTGGTGGTTTCCACTGTGCCTGGCTTCAGAGTCCGTATTGTTTTAGGAGTGTGTGGGCTACATATTGGGAACTTCGTGTCGTCGTTGGTGGAATCGCATACTGACTTAGTTTCCAGTCTTGTCCTTGGCTCACTTGTAGCAAGCACTCAGTAAATAATTTAGCTGCATGAGTAAGGTCTCCTGGCCCCAAACTGGCACTGCCCCCTTCCCTCCTTGCCCCTGAGCCGCACATCACATTGGCACACGGTTTGCTAACCTGGGTGGGCCACGATAAACAGACTCTGTCTTTCAGAGGGCTCGAGATCCCGTTCATTAGAATTAGAAATGCCAGTCCCAGGTGCGGCTTGCCTCCCGAAGGATCAGCACAGGAACGTGCCTGCCTTCCTCACAGCAGTGACCCTCACGTTGGACCTGGGTTTAGGGGTGGGCAGGGTGGTCTGGAGTCCAGGACATGGACCGGGCAGGCTGCATTTGGCCTTGGCTTCTGCAGGGCTCCAAGCGTCTCACCCCGGCAGAGGGCCCCGGTGCCTCCTGCTCTACCCAGAGCCCAGCCCGCTCTCCCCATCGGGAGGTGGCTATCTTTGCTGTGGTTTAGTCTTTAGCATTGAGCATTTTCCCCATTAAAATTATTTTATCAGTTTTAGTGAACAGTGAGTGACCTTTTCTCTACATTTAGGATCTCAAATTACAGGGTCCAATCTGCTGTAGTCCAGAAGTGCCCATCTCACCATCTTCTGGATGGGGCTGGTACAGGAGTAAGCCTCATGCAGCGCCCAGTTTGGTGGCCTTCGAGTTGCTCAGAGACACCGTTATCAACAGAATCCACTCCAGCCCCCTGAGAAGTTCAGCCCCGTGCTGCTGAACAGAGACGAGAAATAGTTTTCTTGGCTTTCTGGTGGCAATAAAACTGCTCTGGGGGTTATAATAAACATTTTTTTTTTGCTTCTAAAATAAGCAACTAGGTATGATTTAACAGAGCATAAAACTTTACGTTGGACTCATGTTGGACTTTAAAATGTTGCTTTTCTGTGTCTTGGTGTAAATTCCACATCTTGGCACTTAGTGCTTGTGAAGCTCGGGCAACTGAAGGGGGGACTTTGACAGATGAGGTCCCCAAGGGAAAGAAGGCAGCAGCAAACATCTTTCTCTCTCCCCCTTACATTAGCCATCTCCTGGTATTACAGCTTTGTGTGCTGACAGGGCCGTGTTGCACACGCGTGATTTTCTGTGCTAGGTCATTCTTACAGAAGTGGGCCCTCTTGTGCGCCTACCCTAAACAGCAGGGTCACGTCCTAATGGGTCCTTAAATGCCCCAGGCTTTGAAGCACTCCACGTGACTCCCTGCATTGCTACATCCACAAAAGGGTAGAACAGTAATTTCTTCTAGCAAAGAAAGTCGAGGGGACTCTGCAGGTGTGTTTCTTGTGACATTTGTGAGTGGTCATCGACTGTCAGTACCTTTCCTTGGGGAGTGGGATGGTGCTTCTCTGTTGCAGGGGACTTGGAGGACTTGGGGCCCCACGGGAGCAGCAGTTCCTTTCAAGCACGAGGTCCCCAGGCAGTCAGG